ACGATGAAACCCGTACCTCGACACCAAACCATTTGTCCAGTAGCAAGGGCAAAGAACGATTCTTCTGGCAGTACAATGTGCAGGCCAAAGGACCCAAGGGAAAGAGACTGGTCTTTCAGTCGAAGCTCGAGGATCCCCATGTGCTGAACGAGGTGACAGACCCCGTCTTCAGTCCAACTTGCTCCGTGCGAGGCATTAAGGTGTACAAGGTAAAATGAATGATAATACATTGCAGTATTTGTACTAACTTCCCTTCTTTGCCTAAACAGCACAGCGGCAAGGCACGCAAGGGCGATGGTAACGATTTGACTCCCAATGCCAGGAAGCTGCACAATATTGGCAAGGAACTGGACAAGCTGAGCCGCACCATCAACGACATGACGCCCGTTTCCGAGCTGCCATTCAATGTGCGCCCCAAGTCGCGCAAGGAGAAGAACAAGCTGGCCTCACGCGCCTGTCGCCTGAAGAAGAAGGCGCAGCACGAGGCCAACAAAATTAAGCTTTTCGGCCTTGAAATTGAACACAGTAAGTGCGATGCGCAAGCTGTGGAATTACCTTAAAGTAATCTTTCAATTTTCGTTTTATAGAGCGCCTCATGAATGGTATAGCCGAGCTAAAGCAGGCCTTGGTCATCAAGCATCGCACCAAGAACCAGGGCGAATCCACCGAGGAGGTGGACCAGCAAATTGCACGCATTTACGCTACCGCCTCGTGTATGTATAGCTTATCCTACTATATGCAATTGAACTAATGTCATATTTATCCAATTTGCAGCTGGAATCCGCATTGCGGGTGGCTCAACAGATTTTGTGAACAAGGTGCTGGAGAACATGCGCGGTGGCATGCCGAATGGAGGCCTCGAGGAGCTGCGTAAATCGTCGTAGACCAAACCAAGAAAAAATGTAAAGCTAACGAACCGCCCATCAAGCTTAGTCTTAACAACAACGCCAACTTTATCCACACCACCAACAACTGAAACCCATTCTACGACAGGATGACAATTGGATTTTGGAATGGAATCAGTCGAAAAACAGGAAACATTTTCTTGAGCTCTGAATTAGTCGAGAAAATTCTTATTGAACCTCCTTCCCTCCTCAAAACACAACGTTCTGTTAAATTGTTCTCCTTAAGTGATATAATATTGATAACCAAGATATAACTGTGATTCAAAGAGCCTGGGCTTTATATGTTTTGTATGGCAGAAAATTGAGGAAAATATTTTGTACTTTTTCGAGACCACGCCGAAACCGGAAAGCCAGAGCCAAAAAAACGTAAACAAAAGAAAAAAGAAAATTCCTTTTGAAAATGCAACATTAACAAATAGAAAGAAACAAAAACAAACACGTAAAGAAAGAGGCAACCACAAAACTGAAAAGAAAATGTGAAAAAATACAAAATTTCGTTTAGCCATTAAGATTGTTAAGAAACGGAGTGTTAGGCGAGCAAGTGAATTTTGTAGGGCTTTGCTACCAGTTTTACCTGCTTAACGAATAAGGGTAAACATTCATTTGATTGGATTGGAAGAATATATCGGGAATGCTAAGAATTAATGGAACATAAGTTAAATACAACTGCGATTTATCTGTTTAAGTTTAAAATGCTATATTAACGATGTATAATTTTGGTTCAATGTTTTAGTCATAGGTTTTTACATTTAACTCAATGTGGGGAGAGAGCTTTTATATAGATCATATGAACCTACATATTACATTTATCGGTTATATTGATTGTTTTGGCCCTCAACCAATATATATTTTATGGTCCTAGGTTGTCTTTTTTAAGTTTTCCATTTTGTTAACGAAAGTTCGATTGTTTCCAAATAAGAATGTTTTGCGAAACTTTATTAATTTACTTAAATGCTATAACTATCTATACATATACATACATGCGTGGTGATATAATTTTAATTTTTCTTTTTATGCTTTTATTTCTTGATGTTAACTGTAGGATTCAATATGCTTGAACTCTACAACTGAGAATGAAATAATTTTAAGTTTTTTCTATTATCCATACGATTTGCTTATGCTTATGAAATACCTTCAATATAAATTATAATTTATTAATTTTTAGGCACACATGAAAACATTTTCAAGGCTTCAGTTTTTATCTTTCACTTGCGGGCTACTCAAAAAACAAAAAAAAAATATAAGAAAAAACACCAAACAAAAAGTAATACAACTTTGAGTTTTATTCTAATTTGCATTATCAAAATGAATACTTTTGCTCTGCTTCGATGCTAATTTTGTGATATTTGTTTTCAAATGTTCTTTGTTGTGTAGTTCTTTTGGGCGGGAATCTCCACTTTTGGGTTATATTTTCCATTTAATATTTGTAGCCTTTCTTACTGCTATTTGTTGCTTAACGTGTTGTGTTCAATTGATATCAAAAGAATTAATTTTCGAAAGAAAAAAAGTACATTCTAACTGAGAGAAGTGGAAAGAAAACGAGAATGAGAACGAAAATACAAATTACAAAAGTGATTCAAGTTAAAAACTTAGAACTTAGGTACTCGTATCACCCACAGCGATGAACACGTGGACATAACAAATTGTAGTTGTTAACATAGGCTTAAACAAATATAATATAAAAACCGATTGAGCGCACATACATTATACATCGACACGCAAAATTGGCCATCAGTTTTTACGGTTTTCAAATTCATGTCTTGGGTTCTAACTCATTACATAAGTGATAAGAATTCAAAATTACAATTTAGAATTTTAGAAACAAGCGGATATCCCAAACACACCTACACACACACCCTCACACAAAGTACAAGCGCAAGCAAAAATACAGAATATGTATAATCGATCTATGCATATATCATAGTTAAGTCAGGTTGCTTAGGTTTTAGAATGGCTTTGTGTAAAAAGTACAGAGTGAAGCAAACAGAATTCAAGGCGAAGCAGCATTGAAATAAGCACGACAGTTCCTCAGTGTTTAATATTGTATAATAAACATATTAAATATATATTTAAAACAAAACATGTATACCTAAATGTTACGGATATTGTAAATGTGTGTGCTTTATATAAATGTGCTTCAGAGAAAACAACTTTTATATACATAACGAAACTAAGCAAACTACCTCAAAACACGTTGGAAATGAAGTTCAAGATTCATATTCGGTGGAGAAGCAGAAAAATTACAATTTGAAAGTAAATATAATTTATATAATAATATGAGAAAAACCAAGAGCCTGATTCATGTGTCCATTTAAAGCATATATACATATATATATAAATATATATCTATATTAATAACAGTGCATAATTATGTATTTTCAAATTCTTAAAATTAGGTATAATACAACAAAAAATTCAAATTAGATAGTTGATGCGCTCGACGAAGCCACGAAGATCAGACAACGAAAGTTCTCATGGCAAGTGCATTACCAGAACCAAAAATTGAAAATGAAATGAAAAAGGTTTGAGAAGTCTAAGATGGAAAATGAAATAATTGAAACAATACCAGAATATTAATAAACAATGATAAAAACCAAACAACTGTGTTGAAAATTGAAAATTTTGTATGCATACGCACTAAGCGAACATTAAAAAGAAGTGAAAACATAACTATTATGTCTAAATAAACACACGTCAGATGTATGTACGTCAACGGAAAACCATTGTCTATATATTACAACTACTAAATACATACCAAATTGAATACATATTGATGAAAAATAATAAATACTGGCGAAAGCAGAAAAACAAAAAATATGTTTTTATTTTATTGTCCATCTCCAACTCAAGGTAAGCAAAAAAATGTGGAACGCTTCACGATTTTGCGTGTCATCCTTGCGCAGGGGCCATGCTAATCTTCTCTGTATCGTTCCAATTTTAGTATATGTTCTGCCGAAGCAAGAACGAAGTACGTTCGAAAATTTTTCTATATATACGAAAAACACCCGGAAAAATAAGTTGAGAATTAGAAAAATAGTGGAGCGCAGGCGCCCTCTGGCGCGAGTTAGCATTTTCCCAGTTTGCATGAGTAGGTGGCGTCTTATTCTACTGTATAAAATTAATGTAGAATTGTAACTATTTATTAAGTCTTGAAAGATTTTAAATTAAATTTAAAAAAATAATTAAGTATAGGCACCATATATAAAACGTAAAAGATAAATTTTATCAAACAAGCTATGTTCCTTTGTGTTTAAGGAACCATTTCGCTTAAATTCTTGTACTGAAAAGTAAACATACGAGTATATAAAGCATATGTATGCATTGATAGCTGGATTTTGGAGTTAGGTATTAAAGTAAAGCAATCGCAGGTAAGCAAAAAAATGTGGAACGCTTCACGATTTTGCGTGTCATCCTTGCGCAGGGGCCATGCTAATCTTCTCTGTATCGTTCCAATTTTAGTATATGTTCTGCCGAAGCAAGAACGAAGTAAGTTTGAAAATTTCTCTATATATACGAACAGCACTCAGAAACAGAAGTTGGGAATTATAAAAATAGTAGAGCGCAAGCGCCCTCTGGCACAAGCTAGTATTTTCCCAGCTTGCATAAGTAGGTGGCGTTTTATTCTACTGTGTAAAATTAATGTAGAATTTTAACTATGTTATAAGGCTTGAAAATCTTGAAATAAAATTTAAAAAAGTAATTAAAGGCACAACGTAAATATTTTGTGTTAAAGGAATCTTTTCGTTTAATTTCTTGTACTGAAATGTAAATATACGTGTATATGTATAAAAGATATGCATTGATAGTTGGTTTTTGGAGTTAGGTAAAGTTAAGGTAAAGCAATCGCAGGTAAGCAAAAAATGTGGAACGCTTCACGATTTTGCGTGTCATCCTTGCGCAGGGGCCATGCTAATCTTCTCTGTATCGTTCCAATTTTAGTATATGTTCTGCATAAGCAAGAACGAAGTAGGAATGAAAAGGTACCTATATAAATTAACCACCTCAGGAAAAAGTAGTTGGGAATTAGAAGAATTTGAAATGGTCTTGAGAGCCCTCTGTTAAAGATTTCCAAATTGGCCTCTACAACCAAAGTTCCTTATTTTTTGTATGTTGAAAACACAGTTCGATTTATTGACTATAATAAATTGATAGTTTTAAATATAGAGGCACGACTAAGAGAGTTTGGTTTCGTTTTGGTTAGGGACCAAAAAAGTATACATAACGAATAAAAAAGGATTTAAGTGCAATTCGTAAAAAAGTGTCGAGTTTTTCTTGAGTTGATTGTGCTGTAATGAGACTCTGCATTCGGCATTTGACTCCGCGTCTCCTACTCGTGCCGTATTTCAGGCTGCAAGTCGAACCAAGAATTCAAGCCGGTTTGTGTGGTAATCTCGGCGTCATCCAGAGGTATTTTCAGCTGAAATAAAAATACATAAAACGCTTGTAGATGTGGCAAAAAAATGTGGAACGCTTCACGATTTTGCGTGTCATCCTTGCGCAGGGGCCATGCTAATCTTCTCTGTATCGTTCCAATTTTAGTATATGTTCTGCCGAAGCAAGAACGAAGTTCAACTGGGTATCTTTTCTATTTATACGGCACTCTTGCTGAACAAGTACTTGGGAATCATAGGGATGCGAAGGACGTACGGGGTGTGTATGTGTTAGGGGTTGCTTTCCGGTACCTACCATGCCAATGATGGGACTGCCGCCGGACAGGAATCCCTTTTGTGTGCACACCGTCACCTCCAGTTCCGTCTGCCTGAGTTCGGCAATGGAAATCAGGTACTCAAAGGATGCATCGTAAACCGGATTGCAGTTGTCCTTGATCACGCTCGTCTTGCGTTTCGACTCCTTGGTGCGTCCAGGCAGCAGGTACAGCTTTACATACGGATCGGGGATGTTGCTGGGATCGCGAAGTGGTATCTTCTGGATCTTGTGAATGGTCACGTCTAGTTTCTGACGCTGGGCGCTGTAGCGGATCGACAACTGCATCCGTCCCAGGCCGTGTTCGCCGGGTGAGGAGGTGGAGTCCGGAAAGCGGTGGGTCAGCACGGAGGTGGCCAGCTCGCTGATGGGCTTTTCGCTGGAGGTGGAGGCGGACATGGCCGGGGAGACCTTCGTAGCCGCCACAGGATCTTCTTCGCTGATGGGCGACTCGGCGGACAAACGCTTGATGGATGCCTGAGATTCCTAAAAGGCAATGCCAAATTACATTTTCAATAATTTACATTGTTTTACTAAATTAAAAATAACTGTTTATATTAACCAGTAAAAAGGAAAAAAAGAATCAACGATTCTCCCCGACGGGGAATTGAACCCCGGTCTCCCGCGTGACAGGCGGGGATACTAACCACTATACTATCGAGGACCTTGAAAACGGTCGATCGAAAACTAATTCTTATAGAGGTTGTACACAAAGTCAGTTTCTGTTTCGTTCTAAGAGGAACTATTATAGTTACTTTCATAGGATTAAGATTTGCCATACTATGAAATTCTACATGCTTATCTTCTGAGCAACTATTATTTCAATTAAGGTCTATTGAAGACCTAACCCACCTTAAGTGCTGGTGGAGAAACTGCAGCCACATCTGGGGTCTTCACGGAGCTGCTGCGTGTGAGGGCCGCCACTTGCTCCAGGGCATCCGATTCCTTGTCAATCTCGCCGGGCTTCAAAATGCGCAGAGAAAGCGACATGTAGAGCTTCGATTCCGGGCCAGACTTCTGGAGTTGGAAGGGCTGCTGTATGACCTCCATATTAAATTGCTTGAGCAGCGTGCTGAGCGTGTAGGTATACTGGCCGATATCGTTTCCGGTCTTCTGGTCGTAGATCTTGATGTTCAGACTCTCGTTATCGGGATTGCTGACCAGGAAGGTGAAGCCCTGCTCCCAAACGGGGGAGTCATCCCGCATTATCATCGCAGTCTGCTGTTTCTGCTTGTTGACGCTGCACACCAGATAGGGATCGGGCTTGGAGCTGGATCGAGCTTGCTGTGAGTGGATGTTTCATTTAATAGAACATGTGATTTATTCATTAATTCATTTTTAAGCAAACCCACCTTCAAATGCCTGGCTGAATCGATGAATACACTGAGTACCGCCGAACTCATGCTGGTCACGCGTAGGAGCTGGGTTTCCAGCAAGATCTGCTGCAGATCATTGGGATCGGCGGTGAGTTTGTACCATTGCAGGCGGACATGAAGAAGTCCATGCTTGGCGTCTTCCAGGGTGAGCCACTATTATTAAGCGTATTATTTGGTACACATTGAGAGTTCGAAATTTCTAATTACTTACACTATCCACAACGCCTTTCTTGATCACGCTGGCAATGTCGATGCTGGCTCTATTTTCGATGGGTAAAAGGTTAAATTAGTTCGCAGCAAATATGATTTAATGTCAAGAAAAAGTAAATGATAAAATCTCAACGGGTTCCCTTAAAACTCAAGCTGTTTGGCGGTATCTCGTTCGGAGTTCTTGTTAGGGGATGTTATTGGGGCAAGAGTTGGTCTGTTTTTCTTGTATGTTCTTGTGGGTGCGCGTTGGTGTTCAATCAATCAATCAATCAAATAGATGGGATTGCCTAACCTGCCGAGCGACTCGTCATCACTAGTGCGGTCCCAGTCAAAAAGTCTGAGCACGAGTATGGCATGCTGCGAGACCTCGACCACAGCCTGCTCCATTCAGCGTTCGAACCAAAAGCAAGTTAAAAGACATTTTCGCATTATTAATGGTTAGTTGTAGCGCAAAATCTCAAGATCTACACAAACTACGGTCCAAATTCGGGTGGGCTATTTACAAGGTCGAATCTAACTACAAAAATGGTCATTGGCATGCCGGTGGTTCTTGTTTCATTGTGTGTCTGTGGTTCAAAGTGCTTCAGCTTTTGCTTGTGGTTCAAAAACAGGTGTCAAAGGGCATGCAGATTAGTACAATGGAGTCATATTAGGTCGGTATTGCGACAGTGTTGAGAATTTCTTAGTAATCAAATTTACTTCATATACGAGTAGTTCAAAATGTAGCTACACTACACTACAGCTTAAATGAAACTACAATACCAATCAAACCAATTCTGAGCATCAGCAAATGAAATTTGTATATTAATGTACCTTATATGCGGTTTTAGACTAGGTTAAGTTCACAAGTGTTCGAAACAATAAGTAAACACAAGTCGATTGCTATTTGTTTAATCAAACTATTTGGGTCGATTGGCCAATTTCTCATCACTTCGCTGTGTTCGCATTTTTTGGTGCTTGTTAGTAGTCGTATTCAGAACATAAATGAAAATCAAGAGATAATCAAATCAACCAAGATAGAACAAGCAAACGGATTGTGAATGCAGTTTCATGCGGCAATACAACCTGCCCAATACATCATCGCTCTGTACACCTGGCATAGTCTGATCATAGTCCCACAAAGAAAACCCAATATAGTGACCAATGGTGGTAAAAATACACGCCTAGAAAAACGAAAGTGTGTGAGTGTGTGTTTCTGGTGGTGGCAGAGAAAGTTGGCCAAAAAGTACTTAATCCATAGAGCAAAGCGAAACGGAACGGAACGAAACTCAAGGAAAATAGTCGGTCACTTCTCATTTTCAGGCTGCATTTCATGCGAAAACGAGCTCTCAACAAGCATTACTCACTCGGTTTTTTAGGGGGTGGGTGTGGGTAGGGTGTGGTTGGTGTGGTAACTCAAAAAAGTTAAATGAAAATATTGCTTACCTGCCCAGGTTCTCGTCTTTCTTGGAATCATCCGAGTCCCTCAATTGAATCTCGACAAATTGACCCATTTGAATAAAAACAGTAGCCTGCGTTCAGGCGCCAAACAAAGTAATCGAGTATAATGATAAAGGAATGAAAATCAAAATGAAACCAACAGAAGGGCAAAACAACGAACTATTATGCAATAAATATGTGGTTTTTGTGTTGGATTGTATCATGCAGCAATCAATCGACAACATCGGCAGACTACAAAAAGCAAGGCAACAAGCGCAGAGGATCCGGTGGAATCCACGCCGTAATCTTCCACAGAATACGTACCTCACACCAGTAGTCCCACTTGGGATTCACATTGTTGTCTATGATCTGGGTCTTGAACTCCTGGGCGCCCACATTGATGATGGCATAGGGATCGGACTTGCCTTTGCCCAGCACACTGATGTCCTTCTTCATGAGATCCTTGGCCTCGACCACGTGGATGCGCAGGATGCCCTGAAAATGTCCAATCATGTATAAAAAATAACGAACAATTATATACACTTTGCACCTCTGGTTCGGGCATCTTCAGGGCCACCGCCGAAACCTCTTCGCTCAGTGAAATGGGCAGTTTGTTTGGCAACACCATCACATTGCCAATCTGCTCCACGATGATCCTTCGCAGCAAGTCACTCAGACCGGGCATGTCCATGAAATCGATCACTCCCACCAAATTGAAATCGATATTCGGATTGTTCAGGAAGAAGATCTGCAGTCCGCCCACCAGGGGCATCGATCGAATCAGGGGCTTCATCACCACACGCACCCAACCATGGATCTGAAAGTCCTTGATGCCACCCTTCATACCACCCAAATAGAAGTTGATGTCGCAATCGCTGGCATAAAACAGATCCAGATCCATGATGATCTCGTTGCGATCCACGTTCTTGTCGTAGATTTTCACACCTCCGATTCGCGGTGGAATGGTGCCCAGTATGATGCGATCGAATCGGAATCCATTCATCTTGTAGTTGGCCAGAGCCAGAGCCACGTTGGGCTCGATGGTTTCCTTCACCAGGGTGCGTGCGAAGTGATTGGCATTGGGCCACACTTGCTTCAGGATCTGCAAGATACTCGTACACATAGTAACTGGAAACTAGTTCTTAGCAGAAGCTCACCTTGTTCAGCCACTCGCAGCGCTCCACATCGGGAAAGTAGACCCACGCGGGCAGCTCGTCGATTCTGGCCAGGATTACGTCCTTCTCGGAGGCCAAAGCCGAGGCCTTGGCAATGTCGCGCTTCTTCTCCGACGTCTTGGCCAACTGGTCGCGTGCCACCGAGAGGATGACCGGTGCTATTAGCCAGGCCACCGACCAGCCCATGTAACCCACCAGATAAATGGAGCCCACAATGGCCACCTTCTTGCCCAGCGTGTAGAACACGGAGAAAATGCTGTCATCGTCGGAAACGGACTTTGTGGCCACCGTTGAGTTTCCATTTGCCGTCTGAGTGGGCGGCGTGCCATTGCCGGTGGGCGTGGCCGGCGCCACCACTGGGGATTCGCTCATTTTTTTGGCCTCCACCAGGGGCACAAAGGGTTCGGTCTCCGTGGGATCAGGTGGGATGGTGAACTCCGCCAAGGGCACCGATGGACTGTTATCGCTGCAAACATTTAAATATACACACTCATGAGCATCTGGAACAGATATTCTCGATACCAAAGCTCCCTGGGAAGCTGACTCATTAGCGTTTGCCGGCTAAGAAGCCGGCGTCGAACTCAATGCTCATGATTGTGATGATGTCATACTATATTGTGCTATTAGCTAGAAATGTGATCTTGAAATGCCTCACCGACTCTCTACGATTCATTTATAATATACACAACGTTTATGAACACTTTGTTTGCGTAGCTTAATTTTTCACTTCTTTAATAGAGTCTCGCATTGCTCATACGCCGTGTGGGTGGGGTAAATTGACACAATTTTACGACTTTTCTAATGGGGCTTCACCACCCACCGAGTTACCTGTTGAGTGGATACACAAAATAGCTTTCATTTCCATCGAGGGTAGAGCAACTTTGTTGGGAAGTTTGCTTATCACAAAGGAAAGTATGAGGGTATCGAGTTACCTATTCAAACTTTGGAAAAGAAAACTTATTTCTCTTCGTTTTCTATAGTAAGTTATATATATAATTATAATTAAATAATTTGACAGCATTTAGTAGTTTCTTTGTAAGTAAGTGAATAGCTCTTGATGTTATTTCGCCTCCAAACTTTCCACAGTTTTCCGAGTGTATTTCACATTTCCCCCAAACTTTTCTTTTATTTTCGCGTCTGCCTTAATTATTCAACGCTTAGCAGCAGCTGTTGACTTTATTCAAATTTCCCAGAAAATATATCTCATTGTTTACCTTTCATTCGTTTTCATGCGGTGGCTCTGGGGATTCATTATGATATAGCCGTAATTTTCTTTTAGCGGGTCATACAACTTTCATGTGCAACCTTGACTTGAATAATCGCACAAAACCAAACTTTTCAAGAGATTTACAACCTCAGCATTTCACGCTTTTTGACGCTTTGTTAGCTGCCAACAACAAAGCCGCCCGCAAAATTGTTCACTAAGCTGAATTCTTGGAGTGCCCAAATAGGCGGGAGGTTGGATTTTCCATCTCCGAAATGGAGGGACACCCTCTCCGGTTACGAGCTTTGCTAATTCAACTTTAACTGCTGGGGAATTGTTACATCTCGTTCTGAGCTGATGGGCACCTGTTGAATAGCCACCAGCCTCCTGCCCCCAAATGTGGCATCCAAAATACGTATACTATACGTGTTTGCAACTAAGAGTGAGAGCCGAAACCCGAATTCAAGAGAGGAACTTAATTCTAGACTGGCTGCCAAAGCTTGTCTGCCTTCAAAAATGATGGGGAGACTACTTGCCATTGCCAAGAACTTGAACTGAACGTGGTTTTATTTTATTTTTTCTTTTGTTTTGCTCAAACTCAGTTTTTTTTGTTGCTCTTCAGGTTTCTTGGCGATGACGTAGTCTGGCATGTGAATGTTTGGAATACTTGAGTGAGTAGTAAGTGAGTATGTCGCTTGTGTCGTGTAAATGTGCATAAATAAATGATAAATAAATAAATTAATTGTGGCATCACCTCATCGCTTAGGTTGTGGTCTCACTTGTGTTGTGTTGGCTTTTTTATGATATTTGGGGGTTGGGACAATTTGTGTGCATCTGAAATAAAGATTTCGTTTTCAATTAAGTGTGCAGCCATCAAGATGGTTTCGTGAATAAATTAAAGAGATTCAACTCCAATTTGTTGCCTTTTAATCACTGTACGTGTGCATTTTATCATATGTCATATACTCGTATCAGCCGTTTCGGATTTTGACTTTTCTATAAATAGTCCAACATTTAATAATCTTTCTCTTTGCATTTCTGTATAGGTCTTCGTAACGTAAACATTTTGATAGAACATTTGTAGCCTTTGCAATTATTTGAAAATTATGCATTTCTTTGAACATATTTAGATAGCTGGTCGGAGCTAAAATTCCTTTCATTTAATATTCACACACAAAAACCACACCGAAGGAAAGCCAACTAAATACGTATTTGCATATACTTGTACATTGAGGGGCGAATATATCGCTCAGCCCGCCGACAATGTTTTTGTATATTTTTATCAAGTTCTATATTCCGGAGTAAACAAATGAGTTTTTCAAAAAGACATCCGCATTTCGATTACACATTGAAAACATAGAAATTCTACTGATTATACGCACCGAGAGCTCGGAACCAATTTGTAATAGACCTGATTACTTCACTTCAGTATATTTTTATTCGAAATGCCGTAATAAACGGAGCGAATTCAGCGACTTTTCATTGTGAGCGGCGTTTCGGAACTAAATTGAATTGAATTCAATTCTCGGAGCCCCAGCCACTAGAAGAATCTCTCGCCTTTGGGGCCTTTGAGTCAAAGCTCCCCTACTTGAGTGGAAGCTACATTTCCGCAGCAGCCAGCAGAAGCACCAGAAGCACCAGCAGCAGCAGCAGCACTGCGGGATCCTTGGCGCCATGGTTCCCCATCAGAGGCTCCTGGACAACAAGGTTGCGCCCACAAAAGGACCTCTTTGCGCGACTATTAATCTGAATATTAATGAGCACCTCAGTGCTTTTGTTAAGCCGCATTCGATTGGAATGATTAATTATGAAACAAGGAATGCTAGAAATGTACCAACTTGTAGCTGTAGATAAGTATGATTTAAATATCCATGTTGGGGATTATCAGTTGAAACAAGTAGGTTGGTAACCTAGTTTAGTTTTATGTAACGATTTGTGTGTGACGATCTGCTTTCCACTCGTGGGCTGACCAGTGTAATTGGACTGATTGTCCTTGGTCCTGGGTCAAGTGCTAATTGTTATTGTTAGCCGCCTGCTTTTTTCTTTCTGCTGCCTGACTCACTGGCAAATGAGATAAAATCTAGGCTGTGTTGTTGGGTAATTAGCAAAACAGTTTGAGAGCCACTGCCGGATGACGCACACGGGCGTAATAAACCCCGGAAAGTGGGCAGCCATGAATGAGGATTAAGCGGCATTTTGTTTGGTTTGCCTGCTTGCCGCCTTGTTGCGCGATTCCGTTCCGTCCCGTTTTTCATAAATATCAAATGGCTGCGTAACACATGGCGTATGTGTAATAATCATGGCATATGCATTTTTAATGCATCGATGTGAAATCGAAAGGTAAACAAAGGCAGCGAGCGAATTGAGGTGGTGCTGCACCACGAAAAAGCGCAAATCAAAAGCAAACAAAGTGTGTCCGGTAGGAAGAGCGTACTTGAACATGGCCTTCAACACCCACCCACACTTGTCCATCGCCAGCCACCCACGCACGCACACCGATGCACACATTGTCTGGCTGCAGGACATGCAGGAGAGCAGAAGAACTCTGCCCAAGGACGAAGGCAGCTGGCAGGCAAATGGAGCCAGCGGATGTCGGATGTCGTGTGGGTCCCCGTGTCCCCACACACAAAGAAATTTTATCCGCGAAATTCCGTCAATTTTCCGTGATTAATATAGCCCAGGGTCACAGTATCTCATTTAAAGAACCTATAAAAAGCATATTGATGTTTCATGCACAACATTATTCATACATGAAAACACATGTTTTTAATATGCTCTTATTCAAGCATTTTTAGGACGATACTAAGCAACCAAATGCTTAAATATTAATACGGTTTTTTATAAAAAATTATACAAAATATTATATTTTTCCCCTACATCTAATACATTTCAGGTTTAGTATTTTTCCTCTGTGTAGTCGGTAATCAAGCGGATGTTAGTTGCTCCTTTCCGGTGAAGCAAGAAAACGTATTCTCATATTCCCGATGAATGACACAATGAAGCCTGAGGGAAATTTCGTGAATATACACACTCTCATCCTGCATCCTTCTAAATAAAGTAAGTGAAGTAACATTTACACCCACGTGCCTCCATTTAATTGCCCCTAAATATTTTATTCAACCTGCTCTGATTTGCCTAAAATCATGCGAGTTCCGTTGGGGTTATTCAACTTTGAACCCACATTATTGGGGGGCGTGGCAGCCAGCGGCTGGCAATAAAACTTTCGCCCCATCAGCGTGCCATAAAACTTAATTCAACACAATATTGAATGCTATATTCGAGTGCCCCGACTATCAGATACCCGTCACTCAGCTAGTGAAAGTGCAAACGAGAAATGTCAACATTTTCTGGAATATCGGTAGAAATTGGGGAAAAGGTAATAAAATTCAAAAAAACTTAATTTGGTAAAAGGGCGGACGTGAGAGTTTTGTGCGGCTTGTGGGGTTTAGAGTGGGCGTGGCAACATTTGGAAACAAACTTGATCTGCGTCTATGTCTCTGGAAGCTGCATGCTTAATCTCAACATTTGTAGTTCCTGAGATCCTGAGTTCGACTCGGCTATTGATCCTGATCAAGAAGATAGATACTTTATATAGTCGGAAACGTTTCCTTATGCCTGTAACATACTTCTCAACGAATATAGTATACCCTTTTACTCGTATAACGGGTATAAAACTAAGCTGAGACAATTCCCGGGCGGTAATCGAGGTCGCACGATGTCGACGCCTTGACTTTATTGAACGAACAATGTAAACAAATTGGGAATATTCTACTTTTTGTACTGTTGAGTTTGCAAGAAAATTGCGTCACACGGCCTTTGATTTATGGAGCGCCTCCAGTCGAGCAAAACGATGGAAACCTGGGAGACCTGCTCCACTAAAAGTAACTTTGATTATGTGCAGCAGGTCGAGCAGTCAGTGAGAAACGTAAAGAATATTATAGAACCATTTGGCTTTTTATTGCAGACATTTATCGTGTGATCAACAAGATTATCGAGGTATATCAACAGTATATATTACTGAAACGGGTTCCGAAAGATTTGAATACACAAATGTTTAAAAACCCATTGTACTTGCTTAATACAATTTTATAGAATCACTTTCATTTTTATTTGTGTATCGGAAACAACATTGATTGCAGACAAATCTCTTAGATACATTAAGGGAAACATTAAGGAGGTCAGAATGGAATTACAGCCAATGGAGATTCAAGGCTCCACAGCTGGCAATTCAATCAGAAAACACGCAATTTAAACTTACTTTAACATTGTTGCATTTTCTGTAGTGTTTTTCAAAGATTTCGTGAAAACATTCTAATCACTCGTGTGGAACTCGGGCGAACACGTTTTAGCCATTTTCATGGCACAGGTAAATTTCTTTACAAAGCCAAATGTTTTGGGTCCTTTCTTAAAGTCTTTCTTTTCGCCAGGCATGTCAAACTTTTCTTTTGACTACGTGTGGTTAGCCAAAAAAGACCTTTAGCCAAGTTGTTATATGCAGATGATGTTAACGTAAAGCGGCCTCGGGGATACATATAAAATAACTGACATGGGGTCGGGCAAACAGGCAACTGCAAATTAAAGTCTCGCCCGTTAAATTATCCTCCATTCAAGCCATGTTTCAGACTTTGTATCTGTGTGTTTGCTTCCCGTAATCCGAATCCATTATTGGGCTTTAATGTCGTTCGCCGGACTGACCACAACTGGCTATCTAAGTACAAATGCCTTTTGCCTTATGAATTAAACACAAGCTTGTTTCTATTTTTTCTGAACTGGCTATTGCCCCGAAATGCCGTCCTCGACTCCAACACTAAAGTGAAGAAACACGCACGGAAATCGTTGATTGCGGCAATAAAAGGAAAAAAACAATGGTAGCCGAAAAGGCAGCCGATTATTAATGTAGCTTGGTAGGTTCAAAGGATACAATGTCAAGGATTGTTTGAGGAAAAACCAGCAACGGGAGACTAGTTTCGAATATACAACTTCCATTAAGGATTTGCAATTCATGGCTCATAAAACGAAGTGTTTTTGGACAATCTATAGGTCGATTTTATCTTTCAGCAGAAATACTTTAATCCGTTGGTAATAGTATATTATTTTAAATTTTTATTAGGATTTTACACATATATAATTAAGAAGCACGTGCCTGAATTTCAGTGTCAAAACTTTCAAGCTATCCTTGCCTTTTAAACTATTTCATGTGGGTTTCATGTGGGTCACACATCATCACACTTTTAGTCTGAGCACGCAGTGTTAAACTATCTGTCTAATTAAAGTATTTGTTTAATTATACGGGCAGGAGAATTCCGAGAGCATTTCAGCCAGTCCCATTCCCCGGTGCATATAAAGCGTTCCACTTTGGGGGAAGAACTTAACCCAAACGCAAATCCTAAACTTTTTCCCTTGCCTGACTCGTCACCAGCTGCAAGGATATCCCAGTCAGTGTGTTTGCGAGGGGCTAACCACAACCACAGGACCGGAGCCGCCGTAATGTGTCCACATTTTAATTACCCTTGATGTCGAGTGCGAAAGGCTGCCACCGAAAAATAAAGGATAAGCAGCAGCAACAACAGAGGAGCAGCAGAAAAATAAAAAAAAAAACAGTTGAAGGCTTCATGGAAGCGCGCTGGTTTTCATAAATATTTCAAATGCCTACCAAAGTCAACCCTTCTACTGTGACAGCTCTTTCTGTCACTTGACACACTGCGTTTTATACTTTTTTTAGTGAAACTTTGCCTGGGACAACGCTGCGTATGTGTAATTTACATGCTTCAAGTTGAATGAAACCAATGGGAGAGTCTCTAGAGTAGCGATAAGAGCCAAACCTTTTCGCAGGTGAACTTGAGGAAATCGCCACTTAGGACTTTTGCATTTTTAATGTTACACACAAAAAAAAAACATAAGGTTGCAGACCAAAATTTGGCTAATTTCGGTTTTTGAAAACAACTATTTTGAATTGATTTTAAACTTGCACTTTTCGTTAGCTTACCTCAAGCTGGTTGATTTATGTGTTTAACTATCTTCACTTGAACAACAGAATATTTAGGGAGTTAATAGTTTTCAAAGGACATTTACAGTGGTCTCATTTTCCGTTGAGCCTTTGCCCAGTTTGAGAGTCACTTGCCTTTTTGGCAAACAATGTCAATGGGTTACCAAAAATAAAATTCAATTGTGCGGCCCCTTTCTAGTAATGTTTCCTTTCTTTTACTGCGTTTTTTTTTTTTTATTTTGCTGCCCGGCACTCAAGTTTCTGTATTGATTCGGAAAAGTCGCGCGCGAATTTCCTCCGCAGGCTTGTGGAAAAACATACGCCTGGATTTTCACATTAGCCGTGCTGAGTGTCCCGTTGTACGCGAGTCGCACAACTGAAAGTGCGGTAACTGAAAGCGAAATTCTATTGCCTTTGCAATATCACTCATACGCAGTGGTTGACCTACATCCTGCAACCAGGTTTTCAAGAGCTCAATTGAGCGAAAGAGCGAGCTTTGTTGTTTACGTTCTCTGCTATTTTTGGCGCCAAAATAGAACAACTGTTGCGGCGCGTGTTTACACAATCTGAGAGGGGGGTGGGGGTGTGTGGTTAAGGACATCAAATGTTGTGCAGCTGTATTGATCAGAAATGGTGTAAGTGCTCCTAGTACACATTATAAGTGTAATTAGAAGTTCCTGAAATATTTAAGTAAGCATTACATAATTCATTCATATTTAAAACATATTAAAGCAAATGATTTGCTCTAACAATGTACATTTTACACATTTATACATAACATGTCAAAAGCTAAAGGCTTTTTACATATAAAAAGCTTTTGTTCTCTCTTCTCCCTGTCTCTCAGTCTCTCACTCCCTCTCATTCTTCGTCTCACTCCGTCTCTCTCCCTCCGCCTCTCTCTCCCACTCACACCCTCTGTCTTTCTCACTCTCCCTCTCTATCCCTCTACTCCCACTCTCGCCCTCTCTTACTTAGATTTGGATACACGCATTTCATTCGGTGCCGAACTGTTGAAGGAGGCGGTTGTGTTTTCGCGTACGGGTGCGCATTCGTTGGTCCGTGTGTGGAGTGTGTGAGTGTGCGTGAGTTGGCGTTTTTGTTCGTACTATTTCTGCACGTGCTGCTCCATTGCTACCATTTCGAGTGGTACAATAATAGAGAACAGTCGTGGGAACCGATTAATGCTCTGATAGCTCAAGTAAGTGTCATTAGTGAATAAACCTAACGGTGAATTGTAAAATTTGGAAGTCGGTATGTCGCGTAATAAGTGGCGTATGTATATGTATGTGACCTGCCGATTTGCATGATTGTGTGCGCTTTCCCTCTTGTTTTCGATGGCCGTCTAGGTGGTTCAATGTGCTGTTATATCGGCGTCTGCTGTAATTCTCCTTTGCCTTTACGTCATTAACCGTTATTAAATTTAGTTCCTACCATTGTGTGCCTAGTGTGGAACACTTTCCATGTGCAAAGCGGCACTGGAAGCGATTGGAATTTCCACCAAACAACCACTTGTTTGCCGGTGGGGTCGCATTCCGATTAGCCCAGTGCTCGTGTATAATATAGACATGTAGATATATACAGTGCAGCTTCAATAATATGGACCACTTTGTTAGCGAAAAAGAACTGAATTCAAATTGATTAGACAAATTTTAACCTCTACCTCTGCTGTAGCCCGAATTTCTAATTAGTGAGTCCCACCATTCGATGCTTCACTGTAACTTGACGATACCGGTAAAAATAAATTAATCACTGTTTTACAATCTGTTCGTTATGTGCCTATCTGTGTTTACTTAGCGCGGTCATAAATTAGATTTCGTTGGAAATATTTATGAAACCTAAAACTCCGAATTGGCTGTCACGGTTGTTGCTTACAAAACTCGTTCTAAACAATTGAAACAACATTAAAATTCCGCATGTGTCTGATATAATTACAATTCTTAATTTCAAGCCACAGCGAAGATAACGGGAGTGATAAAAATGACGGCACTTTCTAGCTGATATGAAAATCTGTATAGTAGTTAGCTTTGAAAGGCAAAAAACATTGTTTCAGTACTTTTAATTGCTTTAATCGAAATGGGAAGATGTACGGCACGTTTTTCTATCTATTGGCGTGGTCACATTTTATTAAATGCCTGCGCTCAGACAATTTAGATCTATTAATTCGAAAATGGGAGCGGCATTTAAATGGCGTTGGAAATGAACAATATTAGTGCTTTAATGATATTACACAATGAGCAACTGAGGAGCATGGAAATTTCCCAGTCAATAGCTCCACCACAACTGCAAACTTGTGAAGTTAGCTACAAAAGTTTTAATTTGAAAAGTGAAATTTCCGCTTTGAGCAACTGGGTCAAAATTTCGTCTGGCCTATAACCTCAATGCAAAAACATCCGTAGTTATAAACAGAAATACGTGTCCAAATACCGGTCGTGCTTATCTGAGAAGGTCTCTGGACTTTTGCTTGCCAATTAATAAAAATTATGATTATTGTCATACGAAGATGTGCAAGTGTCGAGTGGATGCGTTTTGATTTACGCTGCCCCTGTCGCATGCTATCAGTTACAGACAAGGCAAATAGCCATTAGGCATTGGGCTAACGACCGATATCGTGTGATTGACCCTGGTCAATTCTATGCTGAGCAAAGTTGGATCCATGCATCCTGAAATTCCTCATAAAACTTATCTAAATAGGGTGTGGCTTACGAAATCTGAGTGCTCATTTTCTCTTTCCAACTAACTTCGCTTCTCGTTGCACATAGAACTTCATAGAACTTTAGCTTATGATCTATTATAGTCTATTAAAAAATATACTATATTCCCATATGGTAGATAAAGAACATATAGAACTTTTGCTTTTATGCATAATACAGACTCTTTTATTGGTCAAGGTCTTCGCTGATAAGAAAGAAGCTCTTACTAGTCTAGTCTCCGCGCAATCAACTAGTTTTCTACGACATACAAACATGATAAAGACATTCGAATGCGGGCGAATACAGTATGTATTGGTTATTTGAAAGTCATAGACTGAAATCATTTTTAAAGGCATTATATATGTGTTTGTAAATGTTTTAATCAGTTTCTAAATTTAATTGTGATCCACATTATACACTCAATTAGAACATGTAATTTAGCTGGTGTTAATGGCGAGTATAGCTGCTGCATTCTATCTTTAAGCCTTTAATTATTTAACATGAGTTTAGTTGTGGCTTATTTGCGATTGCAGGCCGACGGATTTTCTGATCTAGACGAGAGCTATCCACCCATATGATAGCATGGATAGTAGTGCAAAGCCAACGCGGAAAAACCCGCGACAGAATGCAAATATATTTTCACAACTAATATTTGCCTGGGCTATACCCTTACTTTATCGAGGATCTCGCAGAGGCCTGAATACGGATCACCTGACGCAATGTCTCAAGGAAGATCGATCCGAACAGCTGGGTGACCGTTTGGAGGAGTAAGTATTGAGTTTTAACATCTTCATCAACTGACAAAAAACACTAAGACAGTTTGACTAAAACATTCCTTAATTGTGATCATTTTTCAGTCAATGGTTTAAGGAACTGGAGCGATCCCACCGCAAGAAACAGAAGCCCCATCTCACAAACGCACTGTTCCGCTGTTTCCTAGGACCCACGATCATCAATGGCCTCATATGCCTAATCTACATAGTGATCAAGTGAGTTGGAGATTGAATTAAACTCGTCATGTGTAATTAAAAAAAATATCTATTTTTCAGAACCTTGATTCCAGCTGTTCTTGCGCAGCTGTTGATTCAGTTCCAAAAAAATTCTATTGCGGAAGTAAGAAATTTCGATGTGAATGATAATTCGATATCGGATTCCCTAAATCGAACTGCACGGGCAATTGAAAACTATGTGCTGAGTCAGGCTGTCGCCGCTTCTGGCGGATCTCCAGGGAATGGTAAACAAAGGAATATCAATCGTAATGGAAATATACAAATTAATCATGCTTATGCATATTTCAGCCTCTTCCCCCAATTCCCTGGACAAAGGGGGTCCCCTCAGGGAGCCGATACAACCTCCAGTAGAGACTGTGGACCACAATGCAACCGCTGTGCGAAGCATCATGGATCGGACCGTCGAATACATGTGGAACGATATGTACAGTCTGGGCGCCATCCTGGTTCTGTCGACGCTGTTCGGTTGCTTCCTGCTGCACCACGTCGATCTCCGCCAGCGTTTGATGGGTGCCCGGATGCGAATAGCCTGCTGCTCGTTGATCTACAGGAAAACCCTACGGCTCTCGATGAAAACGGCTGGTCAGACGCCAGCTGGTTACCTTATCAACCTGCTCTCGAATGACGTGAATCGCTTGGACTATGGCTTTATATTCATGCACTGGATCTGGATTATGCCGTTGCAGGCGGTGCTCACTTGCTACCTGATTTGGCTGAGCATTGGCGCCCCAGCGATCGTGGGAGTAGTTGGACTGCTGCTAAAAACGGTGCCCGTGCAGACGGCCTTGAGCAAGGTAACCTCTGTGCTGCGGATGAGAATTGCGGAGCGAACGGACGCAAGAGTGGGCATCATGAACGAGCTGGTGCAGGGCATTCAGGTTATCAAGATGTACGCCTGGGAGAAACCGTTCCAGGCGGTGGTGGCCGAAGCTCGACGCAGCGAGATCAAGCAGATCCGATATGCATCTTACCTGCGTGGCTTCTACCTCAGCACCATGGTGTTCACGGAGCGCTCCACGTTGTACATCACCCTGGCAGCGGCTGCTTTAGTGGGCCAACCCATAACCGCTGACTTTGTATTCTCAGCCGCCAGTTACTACAACATCCTGCAACTGGTGGCTGCCATTTGGTATCCGCTAGCGGTCAGTTTTGGAGCAGAAGCTTTGGTTTCGCTGCGTCGGATTCAGGACTTCCTTATGCTCGAGGGACGTGAGGAACGCACTCAAGGACTTACCCATAAGCGAGATCAGGAAGGGGGAGACTCCAGAGCAGTGACCATCAAGGACATTAATGCCAGCTGGGATCCGGAGAAGCCACAGAGAACGCTGCAAGGCATTAATCTTCAGATCGAGAAGGGCCAACTGTGCGCTGTGATTGGGCCGGTGGGAGCCGGAAAGAGTTCCATCCTCCAGTTACTCCTGGGTGAACTGCCAGTTATCGATGGAGGAGTATTTATACAGGGTGACCTCTCCTATGCAGCCCAGGAACCATGGCTCTTTACGGGATCGGTGCGAAATAACATCCTTTTCGGTGAGGAGTTTGATAAGAAGCGCTACCAGGAGGTAACACGGTGTTGCGCCCTCACCACGGATTTCCACCAACTGCCAAATGGAGACAAAACACTTGTGGGTGAGCGCGGAGCATCCTTATCCGGAGGCCAAAGAGCACGCATCAGCTTGGCCAGAGCTGTCTACAAGCCCGCCCAGATTTATTTGATGGACGATCCGCTAAGTGCTGTAGATGCGCATGTGGGCAGGCATCTCTTCGATGAGGTCATTGGACCCAGAGGACGACTGGCCCAGCTGAAGGCGACGCGCATTCTAGTGACCCACCAGGTGCACTTCCTGTCCGAGGCCGACGTTATTGTGATTGTCGACCAAGGAAGGATTTTGAGGCAAGGCACCTACCAGGAGCTGGTCAACAGTGATCTGGACTTCGCAAAGCTCCTTGAGCGACCCAAGGAGGAAGAGGAGGAGGCGGAAAACAGTCGCAACCAATCATCCCCGTTAGGTTCCAATTCACTGGAGAGTGACGACGAGGAAATACCTTTCATCGATGGTGTAAAAGATGGGTATCAGCAGTTGAGAAAACACAGCAGCTCGGTACATGGCAGCAAGTCGGTGGGTTTGCAATGTTCCAACATTTTATGTTCACTTAATGTAAACAATGCTTTTCCCGTTTCAGTTGGACAGTACGCAACTGGAAGATGATGTCGATGAGGATGCTCTGGCCGAGGCCCAAGCATCTGGCGGCATATCGCCCCGCGTTTGGTACGAGTACTTCCATGCGGGCAGCACTCTCCTGAGCTTCAGCTTCATGGTCTTTGTGATGGTGATGTCCCAGGTGGTGTGCAGCAGCTCTGATTTCTTTGCCAACATCTGGACACAGCAGGAGCATCTGCGGTCGGAGGGAGAGGTCACTACCTTCACCACCTTCGAGTGCATGTACATATACGGTGCACTGATCATCGCCGTGGTGATCATGACCACGTTCCGGGGCTTCCTGTTCTTCAAGATTTGCATGCATGCCTCTAAGGTGCTGCACGATCGAATGTTTGCCTGCATCCTGCACGCCACCATGAGATTCTTTGACACCACTCCCTCTGGAAGGATTCTGAATCGCTTCTCCAAGGATATGGGCGCCATTGATGAGATGTTGCCGCGCGCCATGATGGATTTTATACAGATCGCTCTGGTGATGTTTGGAATTCTGATTGTGATTGGTATACTGAATCCGGTTTTGGTGGCCGCCATGTTGGTGGTGGCCGTTGTGGATGTGCTCATCCTGAAATTGTACCTGAGGCCATCGCAGGATCTGAAGCGATTGGAGGGCATCTGCCGCAGTCCGGTGTTTTCCCATCTCAGTGCTTCCCTTACGGGTCTGGCCATCATCCGATCCCGCCAGTTGCAAGATGTGGTGGCCAAGGAGTTTGATTTGCTGCAGGATGTGCACAGTAGCGTGTGGCAACTGACCATGGCAGCGAATACGGCTTTAGGCTTGTGGCTGGACTGCGTCAGTTGCGTCTTCCTTACCTCTGTCACCTTCAGCTTCATTATCTCCAGTGAAAGTGAGTTCTATACGAATTATCTAATTAAATAGAGCAAAACTGATCGTCATACTTTCTTCTTTTAGCCACTTATAGCGGTAACGTAGGCTTGGCCATTGCCCAGGCCATGATCCTAACCGGAATGGTGCAATATGGAGTGCGCCAGGTGGCCGAATCCTTACAGCAGATGACCAGCGTGGAACGCGTTCTGCAATACACCGAACTGGAGCAGGAGCCGGCGCTGAGCGAGAAGACGCCACCGCAGCAGTGGCCCACCCGTGGTCAGGTGGAGTTCCGCAATATGAGCTGTCGCTATGATCCAAATGGATCGCCGGTGCTTAAGAACCTGAATCTAACCATTGAGGCGGGCTGGAAGGTTGGCATTGTCGGACGTACAGGAGCCGGAAAGTCCTCGCTAATTGGAGCTCTCTTCCGACTGGCACACATCGAGGGAGAGATTCTCATCGATGGCATAGAGACGGGAACCATTTCATTGGAAATTCTGCGCACCCGCATCTCGATTATACCCCAGGATCCGGTACTGTTTTCGGCCACCATCCGCTACAATCTGGACCCCTTCGAGCGGTACACAGACGCCGAGCTGTGGAGCGCTCTGGAGGATGTGGAGCTGCGAGGAGCCATTCCCGGCCTGGACTACATGGTCACGGAGAGGGGTGGCAATTTCAGCGTGGGCCAGCGCCAATTGCTCTGCCTGGCAAGGGCGATTCTGCGAAACAACAAGGTGCTGGTACTGGATGAGGCCACGGCCAATGTGGATCCGCAGTGAGTCCTCGAACGAGAGTTCCTATTTCTCTGGAAATAACCCATCTATTTTCTCAGAACCGATGCCCTGATCCAGCGCACCATCCGCAACAAGTTCAAGCAGTGCACGGTTCTCACCGTTGCTCATCGATTGCACACGGTCATGGATTCGGATAGGATTATAGTAATGGATGCTGGTGTAGCCGTGGAATTCGATGTGCCGCATTTGCTGTTGAAGAAGTCCCAAGGACATCTCCGACAAATGGTAGAGGCAACCGGAGGGGAAGCGGAAGCACTGAAGAAGACGGCCAGTGACAGTCACAAAAGGATGCAGAGGGAGCGGGATGAGCGAGATCGCGACGAGGATGAAGATGAGCGCCAGGAGTGAGAAGCGGTTGCCAAAAATATCCATCGGAAATCGCATTTATCCAAATATGGTGCTTATAATGGCTCTAGGATGCAGCTATAGGACTCCCAATGGAAAAGGAGTCCTGGTAAAAACAAATGCCGTACCAAAATGATTTTTTTGTGCACATACACATATTATGTTATCAATGTTTCATTTCCTTAGTTTAGTTAAGTTTGTTAACGAAAAGTCTAGATATGTGCTGCCTTATACGTATTGTACTTAGATGTAATCTCCACCTGGGACTACACTGTAATATTTGTCCACCCACTTTTTGTAGACCGCCAGTGAAACGGATGTTTACGTACGACATGACAAAGATACTTACATTCTGGTTCCGGACTAGAACTGAAACACCGAGGTCCTCAAAGGATCAGTGGGTTACTCTACTCACTAGCTAGATCATCAGATATATACTGTATATATATTGTGTACATTATTACAAGTAAATATTCATAAAAACGAACTATTGTACTTGAAACTCTAGATAGAAATTTAATAAATATTCGTCGAGTTTATTAAAATATAAATAAGTTTCACAAAAATTGGTAATACAATTCTAAATTTAACATATTGAGCGAATTTGATACAATCGTTTTTGATAGTCACTTTTGGACACATAATTGCAAAGTTTATTAAAATATAAATAATTGTCATAAAATGGATAAAACAATTTAAAATCTAAACAAACGAATTGAGAAAATGTTCGACGATCATTTTCGAGGCGACTTTCGATGGGATGTCTTGACACCTGATCCTATTTGACCTGGGGATTGGCGAGTTTGATTTGTACTTAGTTTGCTTTGTTGTTCATAAGGAATGGGTGGAGTTCCATCTGGATAGTTTACCAGGGAGATGCGACTCTCCCCGGAGAACAGTTGAGAACCGGTGCTGTTCACGGACCCGGCTTTCTCTGGAATGGAGAGGAATGATCCCACTGGTGTGGATGTCTTTTGTCTGTCGTTGGTTGCCCCGGTGGCATGGCTTACACCCACTCCCGCTGTTTGCGTATTGTTGCTGGGGGAGAGCGAATGCAGGACCGACTTCAAAAAGTGTCCTCTTAAGGACTCATCTGAACTCTCAGTGGTGTCGCCGCTGTGCCCTCGATGTTTGAGAAGCTCACGGGTAAGAAATTCCCTCAAGTTTAGGGATCTTCCTATTTGACTCGCATCCTGCACTGTGGAATCTTCCTTGGACTTGTAACTCCGGTCGTGCCCTCCACGTAGCCGCGACTTTCGTGGCCGTCGTTCTGGCGACGAGGCCGAGGTGCTGCTGCACAACTCATCCACCTGCTGTTGCCTCTGATGCATTGTGGTATGCCAGCAGTCACCTCTCTGATCCCCGTCGCTGGAAAAGTTGCTGCCGGAGAGAGGATCTATGCCACTCTCGTTGGGCTGATCGTTGGTTTGCGGGGCGACGCTTTCCCGCCGCGTACTGCTAGCCACCTCCCGACCCGTCAATGTGGTGTCAGTGGCATTGCCACGTCGAAAAGAGTTCTTCAGAATATTCCGCTGGCGGAGTTCCTCCTCTATATTGAATGAATCCGAAGAATCATGGTCTAATCGGTCACTGTCTATTAGTTCCCTCTGATCTGCTGGTTGCTTGGCCATAAGTTTCTCAAAGTATTCCCGGCGTTTGGGGAATTCTTGGATATTATCATTGACCACACGCAGCTGACGCAACAGTTCACCCGGCGACAGAGTGGCCTGATCTGCATCCTGACCTATCTCCAGGTGGATTTGGGTGCTAGTCATGTTATGAAGATAGGCATTAATGCTTGGAAACTCACGGTAGTCCGTTCCTTGAGTGCGCTGGTTGATCACGTGGATCAACTCATTAAATTCGCCCTGCAGCCGTCGGCTCTGATCAGCATCCAACCGCGACAGATCCAACTGCAGTTCTCTGGCATACTGATCAAAGCTGGGAAACGGCTTGGGCAACGGTGTGGCGGCCACGATATTTGACTGTCCCGGCGTTTCCACTTCTGTGATGGTCGACAGCTCGTGCGCCAGGTCATCGGCGTCTAGTTGAGGACTATACCGGCGAATCGTGGCCGGCGGAGCCTTCATCCGGCCACGTGCTGTTGTGTTCTGCGTTGAGGAGCCCAGCGAGATGGGTTCCATATCGACACAAACCTGCCCCTGTGCCGTTATTGGACGCGAGTCCGCGATGCCACTATCCCTGCTGGCTGCTGTCGGCTTGTGCTTCTGCAGCGGCAAGGCTTCCGAGGTCGATGGCGTTTGAGAATCGCTGCGATCGGACAATGTTCGGCATCTCGTTGGCTGTTGTCCAGTTGGGAGCTCAAAATATTCGGTGGATTGGCGCTCGCCATCGCTGTTCGATGTGAGGGTGACCTCCACCAGTCGCTGCTTCTCCTCGCGCACTTTCGTGATCAGCTCCGTCAGTTCGGCGATCCGCTGGGTGCAATTCTCTGTGAGCTGCGCATAGCGTTCCATGTTTCGAGCAGAGGAATCTTCGCTGGTAGATTGGCATTTCGATTTTTCGGGCGCAAAGCGGTTTGTGCTTTTATCGGCAGGCAAGCCTAACGATACCCCTCCATGACCTTGTTTCATCGTCTTTTGCCCTCTTTTTTGTTGCACTGCACCGTGTGATTGCTGCTGCCGCTCCCTTTCTTGAGCAGCAGGAGCTCTGCCGTTTTCTTTTTGAGCTGACATATGTTTCCTATCTCCTTGTGCAGTCGGCCTTTCTCCATGCGTCTTTTCCGCTTTGTGCTCTTTATCTTTGTTGGTTGGCTGACAATCTTCTTGATTCTTGGCCAAGCGCTTGTTCCATATTTGATCGAAGGCGCGCATACTTCTCTCTGTGTCCTGCGACTGTTGCTCCCTTTGCATCTGCTGCTGGCAACGTATTGATGCTTCCAAATCATCGATTAGGCTGCGATTGTCTGCAATGAAGGTCTGCACCCTTTCCACCCGTTGCTCGTTTATCACTGTCTCCTCATCCTGATCCCTTTCTGTTCTTCCTGCTTCAGGCTCGGCACAAGGCGTTACGTTTCTCGATGAGTTGATCACCGACGTCGAGGGTGTGGTCACATACGAGGAACTAACACCCATCTCATCTATACTTTGGCGGGTCATTCCCAGCAGACGATTTATGTATTGAACAACCATGGGATGTAATGGAGCAGACACGGGAGCCGCCGGAGCAGAAGGAACTCCCGAGTTCAAATTTTTATAGCTTACTGGCGGTAGACTGCGATAGGCGGTGGAGTTGGAATCAATGGATATCTGACGCTGATCCTGTGAAAATGGCCGCTTTCCGTGATCCTGTTCCGTCTGCTTTTCCGCATCGTCTATTGGTGTGCTCCCAGTTGAGCCCAGCGGCACATCCTTTTCATTATCGACAGTTGAGGTCTTGGCTTTGGCTTTGGATTTAGCCCTCGGTACATATTGCTTTACAGTACCGTCGCTCCTCACCTTAATAATGATCTCTACTGGACTGTCTTCTTTTGCGGTCGCTTTTGGCTGCTCACCCTCACTGGATTTTGCACTTTTTGTCTCCTTGTAGAATTTTCTTAGACGCTGCTCCAGAATAGCCTCCTTCTGTTGCAAATCAGATTCTCGTTCGTTCAAAGTCCTCGTTCTTTCCGATAGAATATCAGCTCGCTCCTGACGTATATTATGCAATTCCTGTGCGTTGTCACCCTTTGATCCAGCTGTCTCGCCCGCCTTCAGCTCCTCCAACAGTTGGACTCGAATTCTTTCAATGCGCTCAAGCAAACTTTTTAGTCTCATCGATTTCAGTGAGTTTGACTGCTCTGCCTTCAGGTCCGACTTGAGCTGCTTGCTTTGATCATCAACGTAGTCGAGGAGGATGGAGCAGCAGCTCTCCGTGCTGCCAAGTTTATCCCGTCCCATTTGAACAGGAGGTTCACCCACGTTGAGTGACACCGGAGCTTTCGGTTTGCTACGCGACGAGTTTGGTGGAGTTGGTTTGGTGCGCACTTCGGGACAAGTGATGATGGCCGGACGAAGCAGCATTTCTTCCATTGCCTCGTTCATTTTCTGCTCTCGCCTGACAGCCGCATCCGCGAACCGATGGCTAGGTATAATGTTAGCCTGGTGGGAAAATAAGTTTTTATTATTTAAAGGAAGAAATATTTGATACCCTTACATCGGTTGGCAAGAGCTGCGGTTGCTGTTGGGTTAAAGCATCCAGCTTTTCCGTTAATTCAGCACAATCTCGACGCACTTGCTCGCGTTCAAGAGCCTTCTGACCACGATCGTTACTGATTTTCCTATTAGAATGAGTTATTAGTATTCATTAATATAAATTCATTGTGTGTTGCCTACTACCTAAGCTTGTCTAGCTCCTGTTCCCGCAGTTCCCTCAGCTGGTTCTCGATGCGAGCATGATCCATAGCGGTCATTTGGGTGGCATCCTTCTCATTGCACTGCACCGACTGTGTTGGAGCTTCGTACGTTCTATGGTACTTATTGCTATGATCGTAGAACTGAACACGTCCCGATTGAGTCGCCTTTGGGTCCTGTCGCGTGGACGTGGTAAATGTGGTGGTGGATACAGTGGAGTGCGTAGCAGTGCTCGGTGGAGCAGTAACAGCGGGAACGCGTACCGCTGGCTGATTCGGCATCATTTGCTGCGGTGCATACATCGGGTGAGGTTGTGGAAACTGGGCTTGCATGGGGAATGGCATTGAGTATGGCATCGCATATGGTTGCATCGGATGTTGAGAATACTGATGCATGTATGGCTGATTCTGCGGCATGGGATAACAATGGGTCAATGGCGGATTTGGCATGGGTGGCATAGCCTGTTCTGGAATCGGTTGAAGATTTCGGGAAGGTTCCCCTGCTGGCTCCTGTATTGCTGTTACTTTGGGCAGCGTAGCTGGAGCTTTGGCCTTCTGACCTCTTTGTATGCCCGCATCTATCACCTTGGCAGGTGCTGGATTTATTTTTAAACCCGGTCTCTTTACTGTCGGCTGATTACGTGGTGCCGTCGCGGTTTTCTTGGGGGATCCTTTACCCGTTTTAGTAGGGGATTTTCTGAGTGGGGGAGCAGGAACGGGGTCCTCACGCTCTACAGCTTTCCTGGGCGATCTTGGCAGAGATTTGGTGGGACTAGGCGGTACAGATACCGATGGAGCAGGATCTGTTTCCCTTCGTTGAGTTGGCCCAGTTCGTATGGTAGTAGTAGTTTTCCTTACCAAATCGCTGATCTGAGTAAATCTCGGCCGCCGTTGGGGTTCATCATCACTGGGTCTCACGACATGGCTGAATTTGCGGTTGGTTTGCATGAACCTATCGTTTATATCCATACCTTCAGGATTCTTGTGGGTTTCGGAAATGGTTTCCTCGATTTCCACGTCCAGGATTACGGGGGGAGTTTTCTGGAGACGCCGATTGCTGACGGGACTCTCGCTGAGCAGGATGGATGAGTCGTCCTGAGAGGATGCGTCATCCTCCTTCTCCTCCTCGCCATCGGTGCTGGCACATCCGCAGCTGGTTGTCCTTTTGCGTTTGCCCTTGCAACAGGGTTTGTTACATCCACTCTCCAGTCGATTTTCTTTGTCCTCCAAAACGGTCGTTTGTGTGCCCGCCGAGGCACGTCCCTCCGCATTCAGATTCATTACGTTAGTGGCTCGCAACTCCACGCTAGCTTTGCCCGATCTTTTCAAGGCCTGCTTGCGACACCTTCGGATTTTCTCGATTCTCTCTTGCTTCTGCTGCTCGATGCGTTCGTTTTCCTCCTTTGCGGCGCGATGGGCGGCGCCCACCTGGAAAATGGCCGAACGGTAGTCCTGGTGCTTTTTGACCAAAACATGGTCACGCCACGCATTCAGCTCCTTTTGCTTGACCTGCTCCAATTTGTCGATTTGACGCCGTTTCTCGGCAGCCACATCCTCGCGTATCTGGCGTGCCAGGTGGTTGGACTTCTCACGCACCTGGGTGTCAAAATTGGGTCACGATTAGTCTTACAATTACTGCGCAATGGGCTCGGAACCCAAGGGCCCAGTTACCTGCTTCAAACGGGTTATGCGACGCTCACTCTCGAGATCTTTGCGCACTTGCTCTGGATCGTCCAGTGGTCCGATGGGCCTCCTCAAGTTGGCCCCGAACTTCCCATTCACTGTTACTTGCAGAGCCATCTGCTCTATCAATATATGTAGTATATTCGTATATGGGGCAGCATTTACGCCGTAGAAATCGAAACGAGTTTGAGCGTAAAATCAAACAACCAACATCTTCAAAAATTCCTCCCAAGCGGCAGTGTGACCGTAGATGTATAACTTAATGTACTAGAAATTACATTTCTTTAAATATGTCAGCAGTAGCATGCCGCAATACTAATTATGCCCGGTGCCTTTAAGAAAAACTAAATTTTTGAAGAGTTCTGTATTGTTTTCAAATTATATAACTCAAGTAGTGTGTTCTTTTAGATACATGATAATAAACTCCGTTTTAAATCTAAAACAGCACAGACTCAAACCTTGATAGTCCAATTAGGGTGTATCGATAAATTAGTGCAACTATCGGCACTAGTTATCGGGTGAAATCAGCTGAAGTTGTTTGGATTACGAGATAGTAAATAGAAATATTGAAATTGCACTTTTTGGCTGTGAAATCGTGAAATTATGGCGTTTCTACTGCGGCAAGTGGTCAGGACCGGACTCCAAAGGTGAAATTAGCTAGGAGACATGCGCGACAAGCCCCACGATAAGTGTTTGATCTTTCTCAGAAATGTAATCCTAATGCGGCATGCAACCGCTTCCACATCCGCCAATCCCGAGCTGAGTGTCCAGGTGAGCGAGAGCTGCTTGAAGCGACTCCGTGAGATCTGCGTGGACGGATCCTTCCTGCGGGTGACCGTCGAAGGCGGCGGATGCTCCGGCTTTCAGTACAAATTCGATTTGGACAAGCAGCTGAACGAGGATGACCGGCAGTTTGGCGAGGGTGAGGCCAAGGTGGTGATCGATACCGTCTCGCTGGAGTACTGCAGTGGCGCCACCGTGGACTACCACAGCGAACTAATACGCGCCGGATTCCGGATGGTGGCCAATCCGCTGGCGGAACAGGGCTGCTCCTGCGGCTCCTCATTCTCAATCAAATTGTAAACTTTAAACTTTAGAGAATTATTTAATACATATAGAATGTTCAGTTATATACACGTCGAGGGTGGACAATAACAAAACAGGGGGAGCGGGCGTTCCCAGTTAGTTATTTTACAACAATATACAGTAAAGCAGCTGGGCGGGAGGCGCTCCGCTGTCCATGCTCACTTGCAGGCGGCCAGCTGGTCACTTAAACTAATGACCTGCTCGGTCAGCACGCTGATTTGCTCCTCGTAGTTAATACGCGTCGTGGTCTAAAGAAATACAAGTTGTTACTCGGTTCTAAGAACGGAAAACTGGGGCAACTCACCAACTCCTCTTCGAGCATTTGCAGGGCTCCCCCCAAACTGGCCAACTGATCGTCCTTGGCCTTCAGTTCGTGCGTCGCATTCTCCAGGCAGTTTTGCAGATGCTGCACCTCCAGCTCGTAGGATCGCAGCTTGGACTCCGCTTGCACTTTCAGTCGCATCAGATCCTCGAACTTCTTGCTGAACACACTGTAGATGAGTTGCTCCTTGGAGGCCGGCTCGGGTGGATCCTGCAGCGAGTCTCGCGCCCGCTGGCTGCCTTTCGTCTCCGACTCGGCCGGTCGAACTGTGACGCCCGCCGCCGCCGTGCTGCAGCTGCACGTGCTGAGATCCTTGTTGGGGTTCGAGACAAATGCTTGGTGCAGCTTGGCCACTTCAAATTGAGCCCTCCAATGCGCCGCCTCCTTCTCGAGCAGCGCAATGCGATCCTCGGAAGTGAGTTGGTTGCTATTCGACTGCTGCTGGGGATTGTGGAGAGGAGTATTATCGCTGCCTGTGGCGCTCAGTGCGTCCTCGCTGCCAAGCTGAAAACACGTGAGTCTTGAGGTAATGATTTTAAGAGAGATCTTTATATTACCATGCTGGCCGCATCAACAAGTTTAGTTTCCAGCTCGCTGTTCCTGTGCTGCAGCGTTTCCACCTCCTTCCTGAGTCGCTTCTCCAGCTCGTTCTGATCGCCGATGCGCTTCTCCAGCTTTTGTTCCAGCGATGCGATGCGCTCCGTGTGCAGCAGCAGATCCCTTTGCTTGTCGTCAATCTGTGCAATGTCGTTCAAACCAGAGGTCATAACAAATTTTTCGAGTTTCATCCCCTGGGCCTTACCAATGACGTCAGCTGGGCATTCTCCATGATTTTCTTCTGCAGTTCCTCAAAGATAAGCGCTTCTTGAGCGGCATCCGATGGCGGATCGGCTTCTGGGCGGCTATTGTTCTGTAATCCCCGCCTGCCACCGGAATCCTTGTCCTTCTTCTTGGGCTGCTCGTGCGCCGAGATTTCCTGTTGCAGCTGGGACACCCGGGACTCCAGCTGCTTGTTGCGAAAGCCCAGAGAGTCCACCTCCTGCTCCGTGCGCCGCAACGAGGTGGCGTATTGCTGCAGTTGCTCCCGCAGGCTGGCCTCCTTGGACTGCTCCTCCAGCACCGCCTTCTTCAGCACCGTCGCTTGGGCCCTCAGCTAATTGGCGTTTATTTTGGGGATTAATTGGATTAATGGGCGTTAACTGTTGCTGCCGATTTGGGGCGGAATCCTACCTTTGAGTATTCTGTGGCCAGTTTCTGGTACTTGGCCTCCGGCACGGTGCCATCCATGGCGAGCGATTTCTCTGCCATCCAGGCAGGCTTTACGGTCGATGTGGTTTCCGGCGGTGGCGTTCTTCCCACGGTTTTTAAATTGTTTTAAACAAATTGACCAACAAATAAAGCTGGCACAGCAGTGGGCACAGCCACACTTTCGCTGAGAATACCAAAGCGCTAAGGTCGAAAGTGCTTTCATTTGTGCTTATGGTCACACTATATTTTTAACGGATTTTTGAAATGAGAAAGAAGAAACTTACATTATAAAATATTTTTCGCTTTGATAATTTTTAATCAATGTTAAATGTTAATGTTAACTTTTTTAACAACGCACATACAAATATTTGTTATCTCGACAAACCAACCGCTGTTGAATACAAAAACATGTTAAATATATCATATATATTTTTATACCCAAGGCTTGCATATAAATTAAAAAAATGTTATTGCAACCTTGACCGCTCACTTTTCAGAAAAGCAAACTGTTTTTCCTTTTAATAGGCAGCAAATTCTTTGAATAATCTTGTTTACAAGTAATAAAAAGGGAGGCGAATAATTAAGAGGTGTGAAAGGTTAAGGCGTTAAACAACCAACTAAAATGCTGTTTATATATGGTAAATATTTATTTTGCGTGTGACTAAGCCGATGACTAGCTGCCAAAGGGCCCATCCTAATAAATAAACCACATTTATTTAGTTTAAGTCCTTTATTAACTATGTAGTAACATAAATTAAGCATTACCTAATAGGTACGTAATTGAAAGCTCGAAGCACTTAACTTAAAAATATATTGTCGAAGGGCACTTTCTCAAACAGTTTGTTCGACAGCTCCCTGAAAATGATGCCGAAACTCTTGGCATATCCCACCTTCAGCTCGTTGAACACCGTCTCCCAGTTCTCGTTAAGGAATCGATTCATGCCATCCGATAGGGTTTTGTCGTTGAAGAGGTTCTCGAAGTTCATATACACCCTCTTCGGATCGAATGACACTCGGTAGTCCTTCAGTCGCATGTACTTCACTCCATCCTTCTCGAAGGGTTCGCCGATCAGGCGATGCTCGATCTTGGTGTTGATCAGCGTGACATTGGCCTTGCCATGTCCTGTGATGGGCAGCAGAAGGATGCGGCCGGACATCTCGTAGTCGCCGATCATCTCGATGCGGTCCGTTCGGCTATCACAGATAATCAAGTGCTTGTCCAGATCGGTTCTAAAGAAGTGGGATATCATATGATATAATATGCAAATGGGGTATCTCTTTATCCTGATAACCTACCTGTACCGCTGTATCTTGCTGGTGGAGATCATGTCGTGCACCTTCACATTCTTCAAGGCCTGGCGCAGATTTATTGGCGCATTGCCGGCATCTATAACGAGTTTCTTCACGGTGAGCGGCTCGAGGGGCGGTATGCCGAATTCCTTATTGCCTGGCATACAATTGGAGAGGGATAACTGCAGGTCTACAACCAAGTCGTTGTGATTACTCACCCGTTTTCAGCTGCTGTATCGCCACATTGACGGCATCCACCAGACATTTGTCGAAGTTCGCGTCCCGCTTGCACTTGGGAAAGCCTTCGGCTAAAAAGTGGAGATAAAAATCGGTTAAGTCGCTTAGTCATGACATTGAAATCTCGCCGCCTCGCGGATTGCGGAAGTGGCACTGCCAAAAAAAAAATAGTGTAGCCGCCTGCAATTGGGCCAGCATCCACTGGCCAGAGTTCGTTGGCCACAAAAACTTGTTTGTAAACAAAACAAAAGTGTCGGCGACAAGAAAAAATGGATATACATGAGAAAAAGAAGTGAGCTAGCATATTTTAGTGGCTCAATGTCAAGTTGAGGGGCCATTTATCATGAATACATTGAGCAGACAAAGGCACACATGACCTATGCCAACGTTTTCATTAATCAGCTGCACAGGGAGAAAAATTCCATACCAATGCCGCGCGACTGCGTGGAATGTGCGAATTAATTAACACACAATCAATCGCCGTGCGGTTACATATGTCCTTCTCCGCGATAATCGTAGATTTGTGTCACAAGCGGAAGTGTAAGTGTGAATGTGGATCAGTGGACTGTGGTCAGTGGTCTGGACCGTCAAACTGGCCTGGCCAAGAGCAACCTGTTTGCAGACGATGGCTTCAATTGCATAACACCCGTGTACAGTGGACTTCGGTGGCTGGAGACCTCTAATGCCGCCAAAAACCGATCTTAATTGATCTTGACCACTTAGCAGCACGCAAATGAAGCGCATAAAGTCTTTTGGTCGTTTGTTTTTTATATCTCACCTCAATTATTCTCGTTTTTAATGGGCATAACTATTATCTTGGAAATAGCCCATAGCATTTTTAATCACTTCACGGAACATATTTTTATTTCATTTTTTGGTGATTCCTTCGCTAATTTTTATTGTTCATATTTGTCTATTTTGATTTCTTTCACGATTTAAATTAACTACACTAGCTTACATTAATTTTGAAACAAAAAAAGTTACCCATGCCCATAAAGTTTTAAAGGCTACATAAGACTTCTAAAAAATCCTTTCCCTTTCGTAGTATTAATTCCAGTACTTTAAAAATATTATACTTATTTTTACCTGAACACAGTTGGATTGACTTTAAATAATTTAACATACTTTGCGCTTAGCCGGTGGTACTCCCTACTGATTTTTACTGTACCTGCTGTAATAACACTACAAATTTGCATGCAACAATGGACGGCATTAGAGAATCTTACAGAGATCGACCTTCGTGTCTGCAGGCCAAAATCCGAGTTCCCAAAACGAAACTTAAGAGCCATAAACCATATCGATCACGTTTTAACCATAAATGAGGTGCCAAGCAAATATGTAGATGTAGCCGAAGCATAGCGCCAAAGCAAATACGATCTATAAGTTTTTTGCACTCTTGACTCGCCGCAATAGTTGTTGCTGGATTGGCTTAATTTATTTGATTTTTATTTTGTATTTTTTTGGTGCAGTACTTACGCAAATCTTGCGCAGCCGTTACAGTAAGTTCCTGCGCAACCGCAGCGATTAGCAGCAGCATTAGTAGCGTGTATTTTGACATATTTCGTCCGGGGGGATGTATGAAATCGGATCGGATTCGGATTCGGAGCGGATGTACGAAATCGATTGACCAAGAGCAAGTTCCAAACTTCAATTGGCACTCGGCACGAAGAGATGTCTCCACGCGCGCGCGACTTCCGTATCGGTTCAGGTGACAGGTGGTTCTGGCCGGAGACTTATCACTGTGTACACGGGATGCGTCCGTCGATCGTCTTTTTATACCGAGCTTCAGTTGGCTTTCTGAACGGCGGACGTCGGAAAGCTTTTGCGAGTCGAAAACCCATCGATTTTCAATCGCACCGAGCTTTGGCCCATTAAGCCAGCCAGTGAGCGAACCACTTTTGCTTTCCGGCTCGCCGCTTTTGGCCAGGCCAAGACAACCAACCACCAGCAATGACCACTGGAAGTGGAAGCCAAGTGACGACGACGACCAATGACCGAGCTACCCAGCAACCCTGTGTTGCCCTTTCTATTTCATTTTCCCCCGCGATCCGATTCGGTTCATTGAACCTTACCTGGTTTTCACCATAATTTAGGGCCCTAATTTGGGGTGTATGGCTTATCCAATATTCACGGTTCGCTCTCCTCGAGGAAGTCAAATCGAACCACTTAATCCGGGCACTTGAGCGAACTTAGAGTATATTCTACAAGTGCACAGGAACTAGTTTTTATTGGGTCAATATTTGGCAACATTTGTGTGCTGAAATCAACAGTCGAATTCTTGCACAAATGGGAAAACTAATTTTGGGTTAAGCGAATTGGCCAATCTTATGGGTGGCTACCGCTTAATTAAATGCATAGTTTGGATTAACAGGCATCATTAAACTGAAAATTCGCAAAAGAGGTAAATGTAAAACACTTAAGATGAAGTGAAAGATGTAATCTTATTCGCAAAAATGTATTAATATGATTAGGTATTTTACTTTCATTCATTTTCATAACATATACAATGTTTTTTTTTCTGATTAGGTGTGTACTTAATGAAGCAAAGTAATATGGTGATATGTCATACATGTAAGTATCAAATTTAAAAATGATGACTCATGCTGTCGAGCCTTAGATTTCATTCTGCTTTTCCACAGTTTTCCATCAATAATATCTTTTGATCTTTTACAACACTGTTCCTTGATTGTAATTCTTCACTTGACTTTATGGTGCCGAATTCAAGTTTGTTGCCTAAGTCTTTCGTTTGGCCAGCACATTCTTTTGTCCAACTGGGCTTAGGCATGCACTTGTGTGCGTTTGAACATGAGTCTGCGAGCAAGTGTTTGGCCAAAAATAAACAGCCCAAGGACCTCGACATGTGTCTATGGAAACTGTTGCAATTGTTGTTCAAATATAAACAAACGATATGCGAGTGCTTTGCTGAGCCGGCTAACGGTATACTTGTATGCTCGTATGGTATGATGATTGGTGATAAAGTACCAGGCCATAAGTGTGGAAACCGGTTGTCGGCAGTAGGCTCTTAACATTCAACGGACACGCAATCACTTTGGGGAATAGAATAATCTGAAAGAAAATTAATTATCACTGGAATCATCAGAAAGGCTAGACGCAATAAATCCCAAAATGCACAAATGCTATTGCGGCGTAACGACATCGGGAAGCGAGCGGCCGCAGCAACATCTTGCGCTGCATCCAGAGCGAGATGACAATCCACGTGGCGATCTCAGGTCGGTGACCTCATCTTCTAGACAAAGCCTGCGACCCACCCAATTTATAAAGCGTCCGAGCCTAAAGACCCCGCCCCGATTTGGCCTAGGACACTCCAGCACCGAGCTGGTCAATGACTTCAGTCGCCGCAACTCCACAGCCACCACGGTGAGTCACTGCTCCAGCTGCAGCTGCAGCTCCTCCCAGCAACGCCAGCAGAGCAGGGCCAAGGTTTTGCGATGGGGCTGGGAACGAACAGGCGGTACTGACACCTCAAACACAAATCACTATGAGGGGTACACGGACAATCGGCGTCTTTATGAGCAGAGCGCATGCGTCGCCAGTCGCCAGAGGAGCCAAGGTCAGGGTCAGGTTTACAGTGGCAACTCGACGCCATCACCACGCCCAGTTCAGTGCCCCAACCAGCAAGCCACGGATGAGCTGCAGCAGCTGCAGGCCCTGCAGCACTTCCGCCTGATGAACGTCGGCGAATGCTTCAGTGATGGCCGCCAGGATGAGCTGCGTCTGCAGCGGGCCTATGACAAAATTAGTTTCGCCAACTCGGACAAGTGGAACAAGGATCGGGCCAATGAGTGCAGGCAACAGGAAGTGACGAGGAGCACCGCCACACCCTACGCCTTGAGGCAGAAGTTGCTCCGGCTGAGGCTCCAGGAGGAGGAGCAACGTGGCAGGGGCACCGGAGCCAGATGTGCTCCTTTGGGAAGGAGTTGCGCCCTGCGATATAACTAAAGTGCTTTATAAACTACATTAAGTGCAATATTGTGTGCAACAGAAAGTAAAGAAATAAATTCCTTACACAGCAACTATAAAGATATCTGAATAAGAAACTAGCATGCATTTCACTCAAGTAAAAACACATCTTGAATTTCATATTTATTGCTAGTATGTATTTCAATTTCTTTTAATAAAACAGTGCTATTTTGTTACAAGTGCTTCCTCATTGTGTTCATTTTGTTAAATTTTATTTTTTTTTGTTTAATTTTTTATCTCTTTTTTAAATGATTTTTTTGTTGCTTATTCTTGCAATTTACGCTTTGAATGCATTATTAATTTACCCCATTTGTCTTTGCTAATTTCCTTCTTGAGGTCAATTACACTTTAATTTTACGATATTACGTTATAGATTTCTTATGACTCGTGTTTTTTAGGGTTGAAAACAGCCGATGTCGTACTGGATCGCATTATTACAAGTACATATATATATAGTCGTAAATATACGTTGAATTCATTACAACATTGAACAGAGTACTAGAGTGTGAAATAGACGAGGACTCATACTTTTGCTTTTGTTTTCCGTAGGTTACGCGATTGTTGTTAGTAGGTTGCTTGGTTGTCGGGCGGGGATTGGATTATACAAACGAAACCATTTTGGGTAAGTTGCGTCCGGCTGCATCGCTCCGGATCGCTGCCTGCCTGGGCATAATACTTGTAATTGAATGTGGCGGCCTTTAGCACTAGAATGTTGCGACGTTAGTCGTAGAATGCAAAATACACAAAGTATACACAAGTACTTGTACATAAACAGTGTGTGCCTGTGTTGGTTGCGCTGCTGTTTACAAATATTTCATTACTTGCATATTTTTATTTCGATTTTGTATTTTCGTGTGAGTTTCACATGCACTTAATGGGTCTCTGGGGCTGCTTTCCTTTCGCGTGGGCGGGGGATTTAAAGGGGTAACATTATCTGCCTCGTCGCTGACATCAGCAGAGAGCACACAGTGCCGCTCAAAAGCGTTCGCCTTAAGGTAGATTTTCAATTCGGGTTTCTTGTATATATAAACATACTTCTTGGGGTTTTCCTTAAAATCGTGTGTGCGTGCTTGCATGTGGGAGGTGCGTGTGTGTGTGTGTGTGTGTGTAACGCAAACAGTAAAAAAATATTCACAATATTTGTTTATTTTAATATTTTTGGTGTAAACAATTCAAACTTATGTAGCTTGCAACTGAAATTGCTTTCCTCGTTTTAAAACTAAGTAAACATGTATCGATGTAAAATTTGTAAGACAATATTACAAAAATAAATCGTGCCTCGAGTACATATGTAATATGTAGTAACCTCAACTCACATTTAAACGCATTCTCGTACAGTTTAATTAACATAAAAGTTAACATTGTTACCATTTGCTAATATTCTTTTAGATACGCAAAAACAAGGAAGAACAGAAGTGTGTGGTTAAAAACCTTTGCCAAAAACTGCCAAAAGTGCCGCCAAGATCGGCTTAAATAAAATGCTGTGCGAGATAGAAATGCAAATTAAAATACAACCGGTGCGTGCACTTATCGTACCTACTGTACGGTACGGGTGATCTGAGCATGTGTGTGTGTGAGTGTGTGTGAGTGGGTGTGGGCTTTGCGTAAGGAAAAACTATAACAAAATTAATACATTAGGAGATAAAATATTCTTGCTTATGCAGTGTCTTACACTACCATTAGTTTGAACTAAAGTGTCTCGATTTGTGTTTTGTTTGTTTTTTTCTTAATTTCGTTTCATTTGCTTTGTTTTCCTTATTTGTTTTTTGTTTTTTTTTTTCTTTTCAAATGAAAAATAGGCTAATTTGTGTAGATTCATATACCCCTTATAACGTTGCTCACGATTCGATTACACGTATTTGATAAAAACAAACTTCTTGCGCTTCCGTTGAATGTGGACACGGATTCTCCTTTCCAGTTTCCCTATTTTTGTTTTGGGTGTGTGGCCGTTTGTAGTTGCTGTTGTTGTGCTTTGTTCGAGGTGTGCAGTGTTTATTTTTTCTTGTTTTTATTGTTGGCCCCACGTGGCGGTGTCAACGGACGTCCTGAGCTGCCAAAGTTGGGATAAACAAATCGTCGCTTGTCGGCGGGTTTCAATATCTGGAAGGAGCACATCAATGTGTCGTCCACGGACATCATGGCACCTGTAAACGCAATCAATAATGATTAATCAATTCATTAGAAGCGGGATTGTCGTTTATGAGTTGTGCCATTCTCGGTATTGATTATTGATTATTTTAAAATGCGCATTTTCCGAGTGGAAATTAAATCTGGTTGCCAGCTTTCACTTGCCGACAGGTTATCGGTAGGTAAAATCATACAGTACAAGGGTGCTTCATGGCTATTCTCCAAACAAACAAGGTTTATCTCCGACTAAAGTCCTCGCATGATGAACACTTACCCGCGTTGTCGAACTCCCCGCAGTAGTTGGGCGCCGAGAAGAGCGTCACCAGCTGGCGTTTGGCAAAGAACTCATAACCATCCTCCACCACCTGATGAGCCCGACAGATCAGGTCAAATTCGTGCTTCTGTAAAAATTTACCCACAACCTGCAAGAGCGAGTGTTTAAACAACTTTGAGGACAATAGTGTAATGGGAAGAACCCACCTCTGCTCCAAATGTGAAGCTCACGCCGCGATCGTTCTCGCCCCAGCCCATGGTATCCTTATCCGGATCCGACCACAGCAGATCGCACAGCAGTCCCTGGTCGGGCACGTCTGTGGGACGCATGATGCGTCGTATCTGTTCCATGGACGACAGATCTGGACTCAGGCCGCCGTGGCAACAGAAGATCTTCTCATCCACGATGGCGGCCACCGGCAGGCAGTTAAAGCAGTCCGTGAACGTTTTCCACAGCTTGATGGTGTAGCGACGTTTGCATTCATCGTAGAACCTGCCAATTAAATGCAATTAGTTGAGTAATTTTATGGATTATTGCGATAGAATGTGGCATTCACTTTATCTATGTGGGGTATACTAATTTAATTGATATGCACATAGTTGTATGCGTCAGTAAACTAGAAAGTATTAATAAGCTTGGAAACATACATAGGTGGAAATCAATATGTTTGGGAAAAGTTTAAAGCTCACGTAAACAATAAACAAGAATTTGTTTGTTTGATTGTATAAAGTTCATAGTCGACATAATTAGTACGAATACTATCAACTGTAATCAAATTAGTTTGCTTGCTGTAATCTAAGCTGGACCCTAAGTCTGTTTCAATTCCTGTTCGGAATTCACCTAGCTTCATCCAGTATCCCCACTTACCCGTAGATGCGGTTGATGCTGGCGCACTCGTGGTTGCCGCGCAGCAAGAAGAAGTTCTCCGCGTACTTGATCTTGTAGGCCAGCAGCAGGCATATCGTCTCCAGGGACTGCTTGCCACGATCGACGTAGTCGCCCAGGAACAGGTAGTTTGACTCGGGCGGAAAGCCGCCGTATTCGAACAGGCGCAAGAGGTCATAGTATTGTCCGTGTATGTCGCCGCAGATCTTTAGCGGTGCCTCCAGCTCCAGGAGGATGGGCTGCGACAGGAATATCTCGCGGGACTTGAGGCACAGGCTGCGGATCTCGCTCTCTGACAGCTGCACATTCTTTCCCGGTCGTGCGCCGCGCACTGCAACGGAAAACAAACCAGGGAAAATCGCGTTAGGGTGATAAGAGTGGGTGGTTTGGGTTTGGCGAGGCATGTGAATTGGGTGGGGGCAAGGTAATCAAAAGTTGGAGCAACACCTACCCTCCAGCAGACGCGAGATGATGCTATCGATGTTCATGATATCCGACATCTTTGTGGCCCGCTCGCTGCGCTTCCCGAATTTCGCTTATCCGCTGATTGATGCAACTGCTATTTCCCGTAACCCGTGTATTTTCGGTATACGTTCGTTATGTATGTTATTTCATCGATGGGCACGGGCTGCGTGCGCCTGTGTGTGTCTGCGCCGTGTCCGTGTGCGGATGGAAACTCGGTGCTGCGCTAATCTCGCCCTTTGGTCCGCCGGATGCACGGATACGCGGATTCACTGCCTCGGATGCTGGCCCCTCTGAGGTTGGCTGACTTCAATCGTTCCGATCCTCGCCAGCTGCCCTTTTATTGCATTTAATGCACGTTTTACTCGCGACGTACTAAAAAATTTTCATCTACGTTGGTTAGTGACGTCGATTGTTTACAGCGCGAGTCGATAGGCTATCGATTGCAGGGCACGAAGCTATCGGTGGCAGGTAGTGTGACCGGAAATAGCAAATTAATTTGAAAAACAATATTTTTTTTAAGATTAGTACCCTACAGTACAATTCATCGATTAAAGTGGTAAATATTTATAAAGAAATCGTATTATGTTATAATGTAATGGTTAGAAATAGTTAGTAAATGTGTATCAATAATGAAATCAATACCAACATCAAATGTATAAAATTCACATTTAAATTAAAAGAAATCGTTTTTGAGAGGAAAGATTTATTGACTCATTTTAAGTTATCATCTCTGTCCATGAAGCTCTTTCCGTCCTCCGTGGTATTGAACATCACGCGCTTCCTGGGCAGCGGTACGGGCCTCGAACTCAAGGACGACTTGGAAGCTCCTCGCACAGTGGCCGCTGGTTTGACCAGAATCTCCTCCAGACGAGCCTTGAAATCGCGACTAACTGGTCTGCGAGGACTGGAACTTTGAGATTGCTGCTCGCTGCTATCCGTTTGCTCATCCGCCTGCTCCTCGTCCTGGGAGCTGGCTATATCCTCCACAGACTTTTCAGATCTCACGATCCCTCTGCCTGGAACCTCCATGGGTTTCAGTGGACTCTTGTGCTTCAGCAGCATTTCCGCTCGTTCCGAGAACTTGGCGGAGCAGAGTTTTTCGACAAACTTGCGGATGCGATTTCGAGTCGCATAAAAATGTGGATATTGCTAAAGGGTATTGAAAAATTGTCAATTCTTTATAGATGGTTTTATGGAGTTATAGCCTTACCAGTTTCAGTTTATTGCGGTGCTCTGCCAGCTCTGAATTGACCCTCTTTAGCGAGGTGTGGGAAATACCCTTGGACTTCATATCAAAGCCGTGAGGCATCAACTTCCGGTTGACCATCCTCCGGGCATCCTTGCGTGTAAGTGGTTTTTGTGTGCTCCTTAAAGTATGGTCATTA